TGTAGTTGGGGCCCAAGGGACATATCACCATAATGTGAAGAAGGATGAAAGATGACAGACATCTTTCTATGCAAGAGGGAAATGTGGGCCGTTATTGCAGATACAGCAGCCATTTCAAAGAAAGGAATTTTATTCTCAGGATTTCCTCTAGCTGAGGGATTCATCAAGAAAATGCAACTATGGAAAGGGGTCCTTCTATTCTTAAGACAATCTCATCTGGCTATTACTGTGGCTGCTATATGCCACAATTTAATCAGATAGCAGGGTAGAAAACATATGTCCTTTTGGCTGGTCTGCCAAGGACAGCATATAGGGTCCTGAAAAAACTACTTTTGCTTTAGGGTTTTGAACTTCAAGGTATTTACCAACTCTGACACATTAAATAGTGTTGAAACTTCTCCAAGTTACAAATATCTTCTCAAATGATTTGGGTTCTTTGATGGCCATCCAAAGAACTAAACAGTTTTGCTTTAGACCTTTTCACATTACATAATTATAGCATTATGATTCCGCTTGCCTTTGAAAACCTGAGCACATACATGCAGTGACTAATTTGCTTCTGTTTACATGTATAAGTATATAACACAAGTCCATACTTACATATGTAAGTATTTAAACAGAAGTAAACAGTAGTCCACGCCCTTGTTACATCTTGAATAGACTACTGCAATAAGCTCTATGTGGGATTGCCTTTGAAGACTGTTTCAAAGCTTCAAATGGTCCAACGGGTGGCAGCCAGATTGCTCACCAGAGCAGCGTACATGGAGCATACAACCTCCCTGTTATGTCAGCTCCACTGGCTGCCAGTCTGCTACCGAGCAGAATTCAAAGTGCTGGCTTAACCTCATAAGCCCTAAGCAGTTCTGGCCCAGCTTATCTGTCCAAACGTATATGATCCACCTCAGAGGTTAAGATCATCAGTGGAGGCCCTATTGACGGTCCCACCTCCTTCATAAGTGTGATTGGTAGGGACGAGAGACAGGGCCTTCTCAGTGGTTGCCCCTCATCTATGGAACTCCCTCCCCAGCAAAATTAGATCAGCTCCCTCTCTCCTGACCTTCAGGAAAAAACTTAAAATGTGGCTTTGGGACCAAGCCTTTGATCAGTAATTTGAGAAGTGGAATAAGGGAGATGAATTAATATGACTGACAAATGGAATTAGGATTTGGATTGCATAATTTTAATTGATTTTTAATCATTGTTATTTTTAAGTGCTTGAATTTGCTGTATTTATTTGTTTTGTTTATTTTATAATATGTAAATGCATGGCATCGAATTGTTGCTTGATATAAGGCTGCTCTGAGTTCCCTTCAAGGTGAGAAAGGCAGGGGACAAATGTAGTAAATAAATAAATGTAGATCAACATATGAATTAGTATAATCAAATATTTGTGTCAGATCTTCAAGCAGAGTCCATTTAGCTTTAGGCAATGCAGTAATGGTAATGAATGTTGTCTTATAGGGTGATGGTAACAGCTTGCATAAACACAGAGGGAGAAATAGAGAATAGAGCAGATAGGATAGGTAAGATGTCCCTACAAAGAAGAGCAATACTGGTGAGGGGGCTATTTGTAACCGACAGGGAAAATTATATTCTCATTTAGCTGTTGTTTGATATCATTTGATGAAAATAAATCTAGTAACATTATGATTGCTTGACTAATTTGCATAATCTAATTAAAATCACTCATAAATTCAGTTCTGCCTGTGGCAAGTAAAATTTAATTGCTAACACAGCAGTGCAACAGTAAATCGGTGAAAGGACAAAAGAGAATATATAGAATAGAATCTCAGCTGAGATAAGTACCAGCAGTCTTATCTGGAAGACAGTATGAGCAACCTACTTAAAAGTTGTCCAGATTTTGTACTACAGACAATTTTAGTTTGGAATGAGGATTGGAATGTCCCCAAAGCCCCAGACTAAACATTTTAACCCTCCACATAGAAATCCCTGATACAGTTACTCTTACTACTCTTGTTTTCCTCTAGCATTTTTTCTTTTCACTTTGCATTGTCCTACAACCTCATCACACTCACAGTCCTCTCATCCCATTTTACGGGAAGCTACCTTAAATTTACTGGGAGCCACAGCTACCATCAGATGACTTCTGACTGTTGTTCCTGCCTCCAGTCACAGAACTACACAGCAATTGTATAATGGGACAGATCTGTAACCACTGGGAGAAATAATGAATTTAGCCAAAATATCACTATGGAACCATGTGATGGGATCCATGACAGACTCTGTTATTTTTCAGGGCTTGCTATGGTGAAAAGGGGCGTTTCAATAGGCGGTCCTTAGCAGTGAGCTATCCTTATCAACCCTCTGGACAGAAGTGCACAATAACTCCTTCCATTTGCAAATTTCTTTAAAAAAATTAATGACAGATATAGCATAATACAGGCATTGTAGAACAGAAAACAGGTAGTTTTCCTTTGCTGGTTAGTTCCAATGATAATATTAGAGAGCTGTCATTCCTGTTTATAGAAATGCATGATTGCTCCTTCCTATGGAGAGAAGTGGTTTGAAACAGCATCCCTGTCTCAAGGGTCCAATAGGTTAGGTGCAGAACAATTGGATTCCATTGAAACCAATGTTTTAAAACAGGGTCTCAAGGGTTCAATGGGTTTAGATGCAGAATGTTGGAAATAGCAACTTTCTCAAGCCTCCATTAGTTATTTGTTATGTATATAATTGCTTTGCAATTTTACCTAATCTCTTTATTGTGGGAGGGGCTGTGGACCATGTGATCAGGTCTGGACATGTTCAGGACTAAGACTCCATTTTAGAACAGTGTTTTGCTTTAGACTTCAGTGGAGTTAGAAGCAATGTAGAGAAGTGTGTGTTTACATTAGAAGCCATTAGACTCTTAGAGAGAGTAGAAGCCATCTATTTGCATCAGAAGCAGTGTGTACAGTTTAGACTTCAATATAAAAACAGTATGTTATACAGAAGCCATCAGGCTCCATTGGACTATGGACTATTGAGTCTAAGGGTGATGCCCCGTGTTACCGACAGAGAAACTACTTAAAACCACTTTGAGTCCCCCCAGGGGTGAGAAAGGTGGTATATAAATACTGTAAATAAAATAAAATAAATAAAATCCTATTGTAACTGGATTCATAAGCAAAGTGCCTGTATGCTGTATACATGAAGTTTTGTGAGTAAACCAACTCTGTTACTTTTAAAGACGGCTGTTTATTTCATCTCTTGAGAGCATGATTTAAAGGCAAATATATTTTAAGGGAGAGTAGATGTTTTTGGGCAACTAAAGGAACATTTCTGAAACTCTGCTGAAGATATGTTTTTGTGCATTTTCATGTCTTTGTCCCTAGCAAGTCAAAGACATACCTAAGTACATCAGTTTCACAGCAGAGAGACCTAGTTGCCTTGCATGAATGCTGGTGAACATAATTTTCAAAATATTGTGACTTCTAACAAGGTCATGCCTTTCTAGTGACCAGTGATTTTTCAAAAAGGGTATGAATCTCATTCCCCAAATGGTTATGGAGATTCACATTTACCAAAACAGAATTATTGGATCCCATAGAAAGCAATGGTTTAAAACAGCATCCCTGTCTCAAGGGTCCAAGGGATTTAGATGCAGAACTATTGCATCCCATGGAAAGGGATTCTGGCAGATTTGTATGAATAAAACAAGCTGGGGGTGGAAACTTATTGCCTACGTGTGATGAGGAAGATAGCAGGCACCTATGGGGAAGCCCTAAAAGTGTGATGAGAGGAGAACAAATTAAAATGAGCAAGGGAGGACTGGAAGGTATGATCAGCTCTCAGTTCCTCTCTTTTCTTAACTATGCCTCTCAATACTGCCATCTGATAAGGTCTTTGAACCAGAATTCAAATAATGAGTTGGGCAATCATTTCATTTATTTGTGCATTCATTTGTATGTTCTGCTTTACTGAACTACGTTATAGTCAAAGACATTAGCACTATAAAACCAACTTCTCGTACCATTCACACCAGGAGAAAATTACAAATAATACAAATATATTGTTAACAATAGTGTCACAGTATCCTTTTTTCTTTATTTATAGGGGCAAACTTTCATAGTTTCCATAACTGTAAACAGTTGTAAATTATTGACATAATGTGGCCCCTTTGTATCTGCTGGGTTTGGTTCCAGGATATCAAAATCCCATTATATAAAATGAACCAGAAAAATGATATCCCTTATATAAAATGGCAAAATCAAGCTTGCTTTCAGGATTTTTAAACAATATTATGGAGCCATTGATAGTTGAATCCATTGACATAGAATCCATGGATTCAGTGGGATCCAGACTGGAAGATACTTAGATTAAACCATTTATAATCAATGGGACTTCCATTAATCATGACTCTCTTCATGGGAGTCTGGTATAAAGATGATACATTCTGGATCCACCCTATTGTTCTTCCCTCTTGATCAAATTTCACTTATGTGCAATTGATCCAAATTGTGTCCATAGATTGTTTCCAGAACAGCATTCACAAAACCATTGTTATAAAATGCACACTTCAACTGGAGGAGGATTTTGTGACTGTGGGGATACAGAAGCATGGAAGACTGGGCCATTTTGTACAAATCATTGTATGATCCCTTAGAAGTGCCTATGCAGAATCGTCACTGAAGACTGAAAATAGAATTCTGTCCATACTCATGAAGATGCAGCTGGACAAGGGAGGCAGTACATTAATGTATTTCTTCTGTATTACTTAAGCAAGCAATAAGATAGCTGAAGTGCAGCATGGATATGCAGGAAGTATTGGCCAGTTGCTTTAGAAATATAGGAATTTTTGTTACCCACATCATAGAAAAAAGATTTCCATTCTGGCCAGTGAACACCACAAATCACTGGTAAGAGGTGTGCTCAGGGACTGGTGTTTGTATGTAAAATGTGTCAGGCCCAGTTTCAACTCCTGTATATATCGAATTGCTTTCCCTCCCTCACTGATTTATGCAAAATATATACAAATAGAAATTCTTCTTGTATTCCAGGTACACAAAGATGAAGACAGCAACCAACATCTACATTTTTAATCTGGCTCTGGCAGATGCTCTTGTTACCACCACAATGCCTTTCCAAAGTACTGAGTACCTAATGAACTCTTGGCCATTTGGGGATGTGCTGTGTAAAATTGTCATTTCAATTGACTACTATAACATGTTTACAAGCATCTTCACCCTGACCATGATGAGCGTCGATCGATACATTGCTGTGTGCCACCCAGTGAAGGCACTGGACTTCCGTACCCCTCTGAAGGCAAAGATAATCAATATATGTATCTGGCTGTTATCTTCATCTGTTGGCATATCAGCCATAGTCCTCGGAGGCACCAAGGTCAGGGATGGTGAGTACAGACTCTTTTTGAGAGAATGTGATGAAGGCTGGCCCTCTCCTTAGATAGAATGAGGCAGCTGTCAGAGAAAGATTTAAGTGACATGACGTGACAGCAAGTTTTTTTTTAATTTTTTAATTTTTTTTATTGATTTGTGGTGCATACAGAAAACAAAACCGACACCAAAGGAAAACCGAAATAAGTAAAAAGTAAAAAAAAAGAGAAAAAACAGAAAAAAAAAAAGAAATACAAAAGAGTATGCCAGTTAGCAGAATGGTATACAGTCAGCGCTCATTAAACATATAAAAAATCAGCTTTGACTGTACAGTTATAATACATTAACATTTATTGTCCCTCTAACCCCACACCCGTGAACCCAACCCCTGTGACCTCCGACACCACTCCGTATGGATCACATAACTAACCCGCAACTACCCACGTATCTTCTTTCACTGAATCCCCTTTATGGCAATCTTCAAATCTACTTTTGTCTTCTTTTCAAGATATCCAATTGCCAACCGCCATTTTTCAACAAATTCTTCATTATTTCCACCTCTGCTGCTATTTGTCAGTTTGGCCATTTGGATATAGTCTACTAATTTATCTCTCCAATCCTTAATAATTAACTTCTCCCCCTTCCATGTTTTAGCTATTATTAGTCTCGCAGCGACAAAACAATACTGACAAATTTCTTCATCTCCTGCGCTAATACACCTTCTAAATATTCCCAATAAGTGCATTTCTGGGTTTTCTTGATTTTTTTGCTAATCATTTTGTTTGTTTCCTTTGCCACTTTTTTCCAGAATTCTTCAACTATGTTACAGGTCCACCATACGTGGAAAAAAGATCCCTTCACCTTCTTACATCTCCAGCAAGCCCCTGTATTTTAGCCAGTAGCTCTGGAGTTATGTAGGTTCTGTAAAACATTTTAAACATATTTTCTCTAATTGAGCTGGCCACTGAGAATCTAAAGCCTTTATTCCAAAGACATTCCCACTCTTCCAGATCGATATTTCTGCCAACATCTTGGGCCCACGTGATCATAACGGATTTTATTTGGTTGTCTACTAAGTTATATTCTAAAATGTATTTGTAAAGTCTGGATATTAGGCCTTTGTTGCCCTTCTCGAAAATACTTTCTAACTCCGATTTATTAGAGGCAAATCCTAGTTTTGCATCCTTCCTAAATCTGTCGTGTAGTTGGAAAAAACTGAACCAATCTTTTAACCCAGATTCTTCTCTGCTTTTAAGTATCCATTGTCCTTTCTCATTGACCAAATAATCCTTGTATGTGCCGGAGTCAGCATGTGTGGCCGGTCTCTGGACTGCTTCCAATGGGCACAGCCATAGGGGGTTTTTTGGCTCCATACCCTTCTTATATCTTTTCCATGTTGCTAAAAGGCTGGCTCTTATTACATGCCCGTTGAATTCTTTGTTCACTTGTCCTTATAATCCCATAAATAGGCGTGCCATCCGTATCTTAAATTATGGCCCTCTAACTTAAGCAACTCCTTATTGTCCATTTTAATCCATTCCTTTAGCCAGCTGAAATTTGCGGCTTCATAGTAGTACCTGAGATCTGGCAATGCCAGGCCCCCTCTGTTTTTCCCATCAATAAGGTTCCTGTAGGCAATTCTCGCTTTTTTCCCTTTCCAAATGAATTTGACCAGATCTCGTTTCCATATTCCGAACACCTTTACTCCCTTAATAATTGGTAGGTTTTGAAACAAAAACAGCATTTTGGGCAATACTATCATTTTTATCACTGCTATCCTCCCTAACCAGGTGAGTTGAAGTCTTTGCCAATTTTCCAAATCTCTTATCTCCTTCCAGGTTTTGTCGTAATTATATTGGTAAAGTTTACTATTTTTGTTACTTAGCCATAGTCCAAGATATTTTACTTTGGGGACTACCTTACAATTAGTTATATTCTCCAATTTAACAATATCACTTTTAGATAGGTTCTTAGTTAGAAATACAGATTTCTCCTTGTTAATTTTAAAGCCTGACACAACACTAAATTCATTAATAATTTCCAATAAGGCATGTATGCTTCTTAAAGGTTCCCTTAAAAAACAGACCAGATCATCTGCATATGCCTTCCCTTTAAATTCATACCCTTTTACTTTAATTCCTTTAATTTCATTAACTTCTCTAATTCTATTATTCAAAATTTCTAATATCCAAATGAACAGTAAGGGCGACAAGGGACAGCCTTGTCTTGTCCCTTTTTGAATTTCTATATAATTTGACATTTGATTATTTATTTTTAATTTGGCTTTTTGCCTTGAATAAATAGCTCCTATTGCCTTTCTGAAATTTTGACCTACTCCGAAATGGTCCAATACTTTAAACATATAATCCCACCGCACATTATCAAATGCTTTCTCAGCATCTAAAAACAGTAACGCGATCTCTCTACTTGGATCATGTTCAGCATATTCTAGTATATCTAACACTGTTCTCACATTTTGGCTCATATGCCTACCTGGGAGGAAGCCTGCTTGATCCCCGTGTACTATTTTGGTTAAGATTTTTTTCAACCTGTTCGCTAGAATTTCTGCGAATAACTTATAATCGTTATTGACCAATGAAATTGGTCTATAATTCTTTACTTGCTCAATATCTCTGTCTATTTTAGGTAAAAGAACTATAGTAGCTTCCTCCCAGGACTCAGGCATCTCTCCTTTTTGGAGCACTTGATTCATTGTAGAAAGCAATAGCGGGCCTAATTCTTCTTTATACACCTTATAAAACAGAGCAGAGAAACCATCTGGACCTGGGGCTTTATTTAATTTAGCTTTATCTATAGCTGTGTTTAATTCCTCCCATGTAATTTGTCTATCCAAATCTGATTTCATATCTTCTGTGAGCTTGGAGACATTCATATCAGCTAGGTATTGGTCTATTTTTTTAGTATCTATTGGGTTATTTTTGTAGAGGTTTCTGTAATAGTCTTCAAAAACTTTTTGAATTCTTCTTATGTTTGTAATTGTCTCTCCTTTGTGCCTTATCTTGGCTATTATTGGTCTCTCCCTGTGATCTTTCACTTGCCATGCCAAGAGCCTGCCCGGTTTATTAGCATTTTCAAAAAAAATTATGTCTATTATACATAATTTTCTTTTCTAATTCATTTGATAAGAATAATTCATATTGCTGCTGACCTTTGGCTAACTCTTGTTTTGCTTTTTTCTTATCCCCCTTAGACATCTCTAATTCTTTTTCTTTCTCTCTAATTTTGGTAAGCATCTCTAATTGCATATTGTGACAGCAAGTTATTAGTTATTTAACTTATCATTATATTGCTAAAAAAGGGGTTGGTTTTTCTGTCTCATTGCACAAGAAATCTTTTGTCAGTTTTGGCTCCTATCTTCATATTTATTTTGTACATTGATGGGGTGCCATTCGATAGTTCACCTCAAGCAGTAAAATGTCTTGGGATGGCTGTTTGTGTAATGATTGCTGTTTATTAATAACATATTAAAAATAGCCTCAAACAGTCCTGCCTAATTTATTTTTGATGCATTTCTACAATTTTTAAAAAATGTGAATAGAATTAAGGGCCGTATGGAGTTGCTTCAAAGATGAGATTGAAGCTGTGACTGCAGCTAATTTAAACTATACAACATTGCCTCTCAACTATGTTTACTATCTTATAGGTGTCACATTAGCATGATTTGATCTAGTTTCTTGGACCATGGTATCTTAATAAGCCTATCATGATAATATGGCTTTCAGATTTCATGAGGAGAGGCAAGCAGATATTCCCATCAACCTTGGAGTTATATTTGTTTGAACTGTTAGGGCTTTCTCAGTGGTTGCTTCCAGACTCTGTAATTATCTATTAAAGATAATTAGCCTGTTTTCTTTCTTTGTTCAGGTATCAGAAAATAACTAGCTGCTGAGGACAATAGTTTCCAGTGGAGTTCTTCTCAGTTTCCTTTAGGAATATGTTTTAAAATGATACTTTAATTATTCTCATTTAGAGTTTAATTTCATTCTGATTTGTAGTTGATTGTGCTCTGTGTTTCAGTTGGAAAAAATGTCAAATCCAGTCGACTAGTCAATAATGGGTGGAGTCTAGAAAATGCCTAACTGTTAAAGGTGCTTCTTGTAGCCACAAAAACATGTATTGCTATGTGGCTTGCCTTTTTAAAATTATTTATATAATATTCTAGTTTCTCCTGCTATGGGCTATTTGGTGGAGAGCTTACAGTCCATCATAAAACATCTGATAATGGTGTGAACACATGCCGTACAGTGTAGTATTCTACATGCCAAAGAGGCCCCTTCCACACAGCTGAATAAAATCCCACTTTTTTCTGCTTTGAACTGGAATATATGGCAGTGTGCAGGCATGTAGCCGGGGGGGGGGGGGGCTTGAGGGGCTCATGGTGGTTCGCGAAAAGGCCTTACTGGTGCATTATTTAAATTGTTATGTTTATTCATATCATGATCTGATCACCATACTCAATATATGCCATATGCATGGGGGTATTGGAGTAATGATACAAAAGGTTTGCTAGGCTAGACCCTCTTTCACTCAGACTCAGCCCCCCCGAAACTCAGCCCCCCCCCCGAAACCCCCCTGAATTTTTTTAGCCCCCCCCCCACCCGAAACGAAATCCTGGCTACGGGCCTGGCAGTGTGGACTCAGATAACCCAGTTCAAAGCAGATATTATGGGATTTTCTGCCTTGATATTCTGGATTATATGGTTGTGTGGAAGGGCCCTGAGTCTATGCATAGTATTAACCAGATCAGCTACTAACATGCTGTTAACTTCCATGCAGCAGCCATCACTTTTCTGTCATTTTCTTTTTCATTTCAAGCCCAGGGTGGTATGTCTCTCTGTGTGTATAGGGGATGGGTGGGCAGCTGGAACATTCTTTTTCGAAGAAGCAAAACCATAAGGTCATCAATTCAATCAAGTAGGCTGGAGTATTATACGACTCTGCAGATCTTTTCCCCTGCACCATAAATTCCTCATCTCTATAAATCATGCATCTCCACTCTCAGCCGTTCTTCCTCATTACTTACAGAACCACCCTTCTAAAAATGACTGCTTCTCTTTCTAACCACTGTAATTGAAAAGAGCTCTTGTTCATTAGAGAGATACAAAATTGCCTGTAGGTAGAGACAATAAACTCTCTATTTGCAATACATTTGTGAGGTCATGCTAGGGTTCACCCACTAAAATCAGCAGTAAATCAGAATTGATACAATATGTTTAACAAGCTGCAGAATTTACTGAGGCTAAGGGACCGAAGATGCTAGAACTCATTAGGAAGCATCCCCTACATTCAATTTTCTGTCATTCAAGGGCCTGCGTTTGTCTGTGCCTTCAATTCCACTGAAGACTTAGGCAAATTTAATGAATGTCATATAGTATTCTTAGGCAAGAAATGTAGTTTAGCATTACTTTCCTCTGAAATTTAGCACCTGATATTTTTGGTGGTTCAACAAGTGCTAATCAGACCTAATCCTGCTTGATCCTGCTTACCTTCCAAGGGGAGACAATTCTGTTGTTTTTGCCTAGCATTTAAACTACTCCTCAATAGAATTTGCACTGTTGTAAAGGATACTAATGAACCAAGGCTACTCTGCTTTCTGAACCTTTTTTTGACCAGGCCCACTTTGACCAGGGCCCACTTTGACCAGGGACCACTTGACCAGGGATCACTTTCCAACATTAGTACCAAAAGGTTTGGGGCTGGTCAGCTCTGCAGAAGGGAGTGGAAATAAAACAAATGAAATAAAGAGGAAGAAGATATGTGGACCGTATTTTTGTTCTTCTGGCCCACTGCTGGGCCATGGCCCACAGGTTTTAATGAAAGATATCTCTTGTGGATGTAACAAGATATTTTACAATATTTTGTATTGAAGCAAGGAACCATTTCAGGAAATATCTCATACGCAAAGCTGTTATGTTTGACCTCATTTTGTGTGGGAAGGAACCCTCCATTTAATCTAAAAGCTTCTGGGTCCTACTCTGACCCCAAGCCAAGTATCTAGGATACCACTAATGATCAGCTTTCTGATTATTTTAACTTAACTACTGTTTAGACAATCTATGTTATATAACACATATTGATGAAAAGAGTCAAAGTTAGCAATTCACAAATGTTCTCTTCTTATCATTAGTGAAAGCCACATCCCACCTTGTATTGCTTTATTCCCAGTAACAAGATACTTGATGTTTGTACTCCTTGCCTAGTGGTAATCTGAAAAGGACAAGCAGTAGTAGACACGGGAGGAAGGAATGTATGCCAGATATACCAGTCTTGTGGGATTAATCCCTGCAACACTGGATTCTGACCGTGCAAATTGATTATCATTTTTGAGACATCAAAATCTATGCCTCCTTTACTGTAAATCTCTGCCCACTTAAACTTTTCTTGTTGTTTTCTCCCCTTCCCTTTTCATTGACAGATATGGACCCAGCCATTACTGAATGTTCTTTGCAGTTTCCTGATGATGACTATGACTGGTGGGACACTTTTATGAAAATCTGTGTCTTTGTCTTTGCGTTTATTATCCCAGTGCTAATTATAGTTGTTTGCTATACTCTGATGATTCTGCGCTTGAAGAGTGTGAGACTTCTTTCTGGGTCACGGGAAAAGGACCGGAACCTCCGTCGCATCACCAGATTGGTTCTTGTTGTGGTGGCTGTTTTCATTATCTGCTGGACTCCAATTCATATTTTTGTGTTAGTTGAAGCCCTTGGGGATGTCTCACACAGCACTGCTGCTATTTCCAGCTATTATTTCTGCATTGCATTGGGCTACACCAACAGCAGCCTAAATCCTATCCTATATGCTTTTCTAGATGAAAATTTTAAGCGTTGCTTCAAAGATTTTTGCTTTCCTTTTAAAACAAAGACAGATAGACAGAGCACCTGCAGAGTTCGAAGTGTCATTCAAGAGCCTGTCTATACTAGGAATGCTGATGGCACAAACAAGCCAGTATGACTAGTCGTGGAAATGTCATCTTATGTTTCTCCTGGGCGAGAGGAATCCAATGATCTTGGAATAACTCAAATAACCAGTGCAGTGTGAAATGGCCAATAACAGATCTTACAGTCTGGACTGACATATGGGCATTGCCTGATAATGATATCATTATATTTTCACTCTTTGATTTTCAGTTTTGGCTCTATTAACAACTGATCTTTGTACATAGAAAAATACATTTTTTTTTGGAAAAGATTCTTCACAAAACTGCTGCTTTTCATTGCAAAGGAAGTAGCAATTTCTTGTATTTGTCTGATCTTTCTGCTCTTATTTGTTTTCCAGTTATCTTTCACATGTCTCTTAGTGACTGCTGTATATTAATTAAGGACAAAGGAAATTACTTTATTATATTACCTTACAATGAACAATTATGACTATTCATCAAAAGTATCTGCCAGAACTTAAAATATGGTATTCTCCTTACATTCATTGAGTGAAAAGAATCCTGTGATGAATTATGGAATTTAGTCTTCTATTTTAACAAGCTGTGAAGTTATATGGAACCTTGGTGGTGAATTCACACAATGCTGGTTTATATGGTGATTGCATCTGTTACTTCTTAAACTGATCAGTGGAAACATCCATAAGTTTTACTGCATGAACTTAATAGCTATATAATCCTAAGGGAATCATATCACAAGATTGCTGCACAAATGGGTTCTGTGAATCCTATTTATGTACTATATCCAACCTTCCATCTTATCTTAGAAATCCAACAGGAAGGGGTTATTGTTTATTCATTCAGTCACTTCCGACTCTTCGTGGCCACCCTCAGCTCCTTCAGAGTCAAGCCAGTCACTTCAAGGATCATTTTGACTATCTTCCAACCTGGGAGTCTCATCTTCCGATGGCATACTAATATATCTCTGGTTGTACTGATCCATTTAGTTTTAATGGCAAGAATACTGGGATGGGTTGCCATTACCTTCCCCAGTGATTGTATTTAGTCTGACCTCTCTGCCATAACCTTCCCATCTCGGGTGTCCCTTCATGGTTTTGCTCGTAGCATCATTTTGGTGCTCAAAATCCAGCATTGCGACAAGGTAACAATCAGACATTGCTTAATTTAAAACCTTAATTTGTCCAAAATGAAATATTTTGATGTTCTAGCCTTCTATTCCCTTCTGTTCTGTTCTTTCTTCCACTAAAAGTAAATCAGAGAAAAGTCACATAAATTTTGGAGCCAAACAGTTGTGTGTAAATATGCTTAATTTATTGTGCCTGTAGCATTGTTGACTATCGGCATATGTTTGCACTATGAAATTCCAATTTATGCATGATTGCTGATTTTTATATTTGTGTCTGTCTACAACAAAAGTGCTTCAGTGTAGTTGTTATTTTGAACTAAAGACAAATGCATATATGTATAGCCACGATGTTTCATGAAGTTATTCTTTGTGTGGTTCTCCCAAAATAAATGTACTTACCAAGAGTGACAGAATGCCTTTTATGAGGATGAAAACTATCAATCATATAGAAAAGAATATAATAAAATTATCTTTCCTTACCTAAAATTGAGATGACAGAAGCACATCTTTTTATAAATCTGCATGCAATTACCATCCAGTCTATCTATGCCTTTGCTAAGATTCCTTTTTCAGGTGTGATAAAGGAAAATCACATAGAATTACCATTGTCCAGCATTCAAATACTTTCCCTAAGTGATACAGTTATAAAGATAGACTATGTACCAAGCAACCATTTGTCACATCACAATATTGTTAAGTCTTTAATGGTCAAAATCCATTAGTTATAATACTACCCACACCAAAAAGGGAACCAAACCTTAACAGTTACTTTTCACTGCTAATTCAGGGAGTAAAGGAAGAGCCAATATAAAACTTCAAAACTGAGACAAAGGATTTCCTCTGGTCCCTGCTAGCCCTTCTTTTCTGTTCTGTGCAGTTCTGCAAAGTGCCAGTGGATGCTGTATTTATATTTGCTGTAACAATAAAATGGAGTCTATAAGTATAAATTAATGAGTACATGGCTGTAATGTATTCCCTATAGTAAACAAATGAGATTTTCACTTTAACATACCTCTTACGCTTCCTGTTCTCCAGCAACAATTATACTGGTAAAAGTATATGAGTAGTTAGTGATCTACTCATCATCATAGTTCTTTATTAGGCACATAATGAAACATAGAGCAGTATGCACTTTGCCACTTCACATAAGACACCTAGAAATATAGACCTAGATCAGGGGAGGACCATAATCAGGGACTGGTGAGTGCAAAACAGTAACTGTTCAATATTCACAATCACTACTTAGTTCTCAATTTTGACACTTTTATTTCCTCATAACACACCCTCCCCACAAAAGATATTAATAAGCTGGAAGGTGTTCAGGGGTAGGTGAATAAAATGATCAAAATTCTGGAGACTATGCTTGTGCAATCCGAGTAAACCATGATCCATTTTGGTGTCCTCGATTTCAGTGGGGATACCGATCCATTATTTGGGGGCCTCCTGAATTCAAGAGGACAGAAATCCATTTTCAATCTGAGAAGCTGAAAGATCTGTTTTCTATCTGGCCCATTGGTGGCAATGGGGGGACTTCCCACAGGCTACAGAGGTCAGTTGCAGTACTTTCTTCTGTGGAAACTATTGATTAATCCAGGTTAACATTACATTTTGACTTCCTACAATGACATAACTGCTGGCAGACTCCTGATTGCCTGTCATGGAACTTTGTGCTACAGAGAATTATAGGTAATGCTTTCAGGCTTTAACTATGTTAAACTATTAATTCTCAAAGTTTGATTTCAAAGAGTTTTGTTCTTCTGCTCAAAAGTCCAGTCAACTTGACTGGGTTCTGAGAGCTGAAGTATGAAACATCGGGAAGACTATAGACTGTGGGTCATTTTCTTAAAACAGCATCCCTGCCAAGGTTCTCTGTGCCTTGTTTCACATTAGCAAACGGTACCACACACCCAATACAGCTGTGTGTTTCAAGGAATGATCAAGAGCAGAGGGCACATTGTATTTCAAGAAACTTGGCTAGAACTATTGATCTCAATGTGGGATGATACCCTTCAGATAATAATAATAATAATAATAATAATAATAATAATAATAATCCTTTATTTATACCCCGCTACCATCTCCCACAGGACTCGATGCGGCTTACAAGAGGCTGATCCCAAAATACATCAGAAACAAAAAACACAACAACAATACAACAATAAATGACTCATAGCAAAGCAAAACAATAACAAAAATATCACGACACATTTAAAAACCTGTGGCAGGGCCAAATGTAATGATTAATTTTTTTTTAAAAAAAAATGCTGGGTTCTCCAGGTCAAAGTTTGGAAACTTCTGGCCTAAGATTGTGCATAAAATATGTCACATTCACTTATCAGATCTTTTTTACAATTGTATTGATGAATTTCACACCAGTTCATAAATGCAAACGAACCTATGTACTTTGATTGTATATAGAATTGCAATTGTAAAGATAATTTTTGGACATCCCGTACTTCCCTTGCTTGATATTTTGTACAAAGTAATGGTTCTGCTCCAAGATGGATAGCACTTCATGGAATCAGCACTTCCTTAGATGATTGCACTGCACAAACAAGCAAAACAGTGTGCTTAAGCAAAATGAGGTAGCCAAGGTGTTAGGCACCATAATACCTGTTTGGAGAGGAAGAAAAAGTGTTGTGTGTCAGTGGTCTCTTGGATGAGTGGCACAATATGCTCCTCTGGAGCCCTGCAGCATTAAATGGTTACCTCGGTCAGCCTATTAGCAAGGCAGATCCTGCATGTGTCAAGAATGGGATGTGGAAAGAAACTGGGTGTAAAATAGTGATGTTAAGATGGAGTCACAAAAATGATTTGACCGTTTGTATGTTTGAAGATGTAGCCACCAAATTATACTTTGCTGAGCTCCTCAGTGGGCATACTATTGTCAGAATCTGGAACTTTCTTCCCCTCTCTCCCATTTCCTATAATATTTCCTTTGGCTATAAGTGGAGATATTGTCATTTTTTTTTGTAGAATTAGAAATACAAGAATGAAAGCCAGAATTCCGCCATCCATTTCACAATTCATTATATTGTAGCTCCTCATGCCCTTGAGACCAACATAGAACAATATTTAATTTCCCTGGGCTCATATTCCATTTCAAACAAGAGAATTCTAATGGAAGCCCAGGAAATAATAGCCAAAGAGAGGAGCTACAATATGACTAGCAGTTACATGCAATAGGTCATGGAAATGCTTTCTTATTATAAAGATATTCTTTCCCATAATATTTAAAATACGTACTAGGCTAAATGAAATCCATTCTTATAAAACTTTCTTTATCATAGACTCTATGTTAGCAGCTGAGACTTTCAAATCTCATTGTGAAACCTTTCTAGGCTTTAGTTTCTGAACTAATATTGACAGGTAATTTTTTATTTCACAATGTTACAACTAGTTGGAATTTACTAGATCTTTTATTATGTATATTTAGAGTAGAATCTTTAAATATCTTTACATTTAACCAATTAATCTAGGAAAGAGAGAGAAGTTTACAAAAATATTGAAAATGAAGAAAGGTTGGACTTTGGCAACCTTTTAGGAATGCAAAATGAAGCAACTAAGAAACTGGACAAACCATCCAAGATTAAGGACCTAATGATACCTCTAATTATGACACACTGGGGGGGGGGGGGCTGCATTGGGTGCTTTTATTCTTCATACTCTGCCAGTAACATGGCTCAAAATCAAGAGGTATTAAATTTCATTTTTCGTAATTAGGAACTTTTCTATTCACCTTTACAGTCATTGCACAATTTTCAGTCTAATTTATTCTCTTTGTATACCCTGTTTAATTTTGGCCTCATTTGCACAAGTAGCAGCTGTGCACTTTGGAATCAAATCAAAGATTTGGTTTGTCAGAGTATTCATTTCAATTCTTTGATAATGTTTCTGGATATTAATGTGCTGGCTAGCTACTTGCCAGAGCATTCAAGCTAACAGACCCCCCCCCCCCCCCCGTAATTGTGAAGGAGGATATAACAGGATTTTCTGCCATGTGTGATGCCAAAAATGGTTATTAGAATGGTGTGAATACAGCCCTCTGGAACAGAGGACCTGGAAATTGGTTGGAGTGACACTTGGAAATACACTCCTGTCTTAAAAGAACCATGGCTATTCTTAATGTGGCAACATCTCCATCATCCTTGATAGTAGAGTGAGCTTATCCAGAACTAAAATCATAAAGAGGGCTGGCTGAAACTGATGGGCAGTGGCCAAATGCAGGCATGCCAAGCAGTTATAAGTAGATACCACACATTTTCTCTGAAAAGGAAAGCAACACTTGTCTTTCCTTAACTATCACAACCATGAGACGATTAATTAATATATCTGACCCTAGGGTTGAGGTCAATATGCTGCTCTGGTGCCATGGCCCATGTCCTATTCCTTCCTTGTCTGTTACAGATGTGTGAAATGGCAACTGTACCATTACTGACATTACCCAAATGCCTACATCCTCAGAAGGATGTCTGAAATAGAGTGCTTATGCATGTGCAGCTGTGGAAGAAAATATGTAAGCTGTCAGTAAGAATGACACTGGACATGATATTCATTTTGCTGGACTTATTTTGGTCTCCTGTTTACTTCATTCCCATTTGGTGTTTGACTGTGATGTAAGAGGCTTTTTTCATTTCACTAGAATTGTAGGTTTCCCTTAGTGTTCAGAATACTGCAGGCCTTTCTCACTATGAAATTAAAGACTGCAACAGAGTACTAAATCCTGTCATTGTATGATGCTCTGCTACATCAATGTTTCTTATCCAAGAAAATAGTTTGTTTTTTAGAGAATAGTTGTCTTGCAAAAGAAAGTTTCTCTTTTGAAAGCCATTCTTGTGTTTATTACACTTAACCTACCTGTTTAGTATAACACTTGGTCAATCTGATAAAGTACACTGAAATCATCAATAGCTTCATCTGTGATAAATTTGCTCATCATTAAGGGGCAAAAATATCCTTACTGGCTAATGTACAACAGAGTAAAATAGCTACTTTGTAGGAAATGTTAAGAAAGAGGTAATTACCACATTTATTTAGTCTTAAAATAACGCCCAAGAAGCCAGACCTCCAGATGTTGTTGGACTTTAAATTTTCCTTATCTCCAGCCAACCTTGCTAGTAGTCATGGGTGATGAGGTGTGAATCTAACACCAATTGGAGGTCTAGAGCCTTCCCAACCTTGGTCCAAACAGTTTATGTTTACATTCATAATGTCTTTCCTTACTAGCATATGTTTTTAGTGGTCTCTTATGAAATCAAGCTTTTTGCCAATGTTCAAATATTATGATAAAGGGTGGATAAAAATCCCACCCTCTTAAAAACATTGGTTTTAAAGGAATTGCACTAGCTATCAATATGCTTTCAGTCTGCATTCAAGGTGCTGGAAATGTTGTTTGAAGTCTTAATTATCTTGGGATGGCTATAATTGAAGGAACACCTCCCTGTATGTGTTTTCCTACAGCTTAGGACTTTCTGGATGCGTCCTCCTTTGTGTTCCACTATCCGGGCCAATATTCAGTGGGATGACCTCTACTGTAGCACCCTGGTTATAAAGCACCCTCTCCTTACAGATTCTGATTCAAAGAATTTTGAAAGTTTCACCCATTCCTCAAAATGTTTCCAAGATAGTTCATCCAAGTACATTCCAGCAGAAAGGTACAATAAGAGTAATTATAATCACACTTCTCTCTTCCCTCCTGCATTGTAAAAAAATAACTTGGATAGCTGCTTTTACCTATATAAAACTTCTGTTCCAGTTACCAGGGCAGAAGACAATAACATTGGCTCTCTGAACTAGAAGCTAGATAGTAAGGAATAAATGTAGCACCACACAGAGGCAACAAGAGAGCAGGGAATAAAATCCAGGATCACAGTTCCAAATGACTGCTCTAATTGTTAGACTGAATTAGGAGCTAGCATTTTA